ACAAAGGCCATGACCATGGTTTTCTTTCCTAGATGGAACGGAATTTCTTGTGTTGCTAGAACAATTGAATAGAATTCCATCGCATTCCTGATTTCAACAAGTATACAAAAAGGAAAAGAATAGCTAAGAAAGCCTTGTCCTCTTGAAAGATGAGACTATGAAATGAATATTGAGAAACCATGACATGGCAAGGCCTTTGAACATGCATTTTCTATATCTTCATATTTGAAGATGCAAAAAGCATTTCAAGAATAGTAGAACAATAGACAATAAGACAGAAAGTTAAAATAATCCTGACCTATAGAGAAATAGTACTGATAGGATTAAAGCCTGAAAAGTCCCCTGGATTCAAAGCCCAAATACTATGGTCTTAAAAGAAGCGGTGCAGAGACAGTGGGATGCATTGGTTGTAACTTTCCAAAGTTCCCGAGATTTTGGAACAGCTCCAGCTTATTGGAAGACCCCCAGATGTAACACCTCCATTCTAGAAAGGAGGGAGGCAGAAAGCATGAAACTATAGGTCAGTTAGCTTGACATCTGTCATTAGGAAAATGGTAGAATCCATTGCGTCGAAGCAAGAGTCAACAAGATTCTGAGAAAGAGAAATAGGTTTTAAAATGCTGACTGACGTTCTCTAAGGATGCAACAAATATTGTAATTAAACAGGTACAGAACGTATAATACATTTGGATTTCCAAAGGAATATAAGGTTATTGTTATTGTATGAGAGTCCATGTTGAATGTGTTGAGTGCGATACATCTTAATGGGTAGAAGACTGCCTAACAAAGAATCAAGATAAATGGATCATTGTCAGACCGATAACTAAAGAATTCAGATCATGCTGGGGACTCAAATATTTATATTAATTTGATTTTTATTAACTTGAATGAAGGATCTGACTGTATTGCAGTCAAATTTGTGACAACACAAAGATAGAAAAGCAGGGCTGTGAGAAGGATTCAAATAGTCTGCAATGGAATATAGGTAGGTTACATGAGTGGTCAAAAAGTTAACAGATGAAATATAATCTGGAAAAAAGTCAGGTTGTCCACTTTGGCAGTAAGTTTTGAAGAGCAGAATATTATTAAAATGGAGATTATAGAATGTTGCAGTACAGAGGGATGAGTGTTCTTGAACGTGAATCACAGAATTTAGAATACAGGTATAAAAAGTAATTAAGGTGGTAAATAGAAGATTACAAGAGGGTTCGAGTATAGAAGTAGGAGATTCTTGCTGCTCCTGTACAGTACATTAGTGAAAACACACTTACAGGATCAAAAACAGTTTTGGTCTGTTTATATAAGGAGGGATATACTTAGATTGAAAACAATTCAGAGATAGTTCACTAGGCTGATTCAAGGATGAAGGAGATTAGGGTTTAGAAGAATGAGAGGTGATGGAATTGAAATATTTAATTCAGATGCAGTTTGACAAGGTAGATGCTTAAAGGATGTTTCTCCTCATGGGAGAATCTAAAACTAAAACTGAGGGCACAGTTACAAAATAAGAGATTTCCCATTTAAGACAGAGGGGAGGAGGAGTCTGAGGGTCATCAGTCCTTGAACCTCTCTTTGACATAGTGTAGAATGAGTCACTGAATATATTCAATGCTGATTACCACCTATCACAGACCACTTGTGTACAGAAAACAGTACTCTTATCTGTTGAACACCATTTGGAGGAAATGCAAAGGGTGGCAACAGCACAGAATGCATCTGGTTGGGGGATTTTAATGTTCATTATATGGGCTTTGTAGCACCACTACTTACTGCGTTGGTCAAGCCTTAAAGCATGTGGCTGCCAGTCAGGTGGTAGGGAAGAAACATAGAGGAAAAAATCTACTTTATCTTGTCCTCACCAATCTACCTGTTGACCATGCATCTGCCCATAACAATGTTGGTAGGAGTGACACACACACACAGTATCATGGAGATGAAATCTGGTTTTCACATTGACAATATACTCCATATTGTTGTTAGCCATTACACCATATTGCATTGCATAAATCTGAACAGATCTAGCCTGTGTGGTGCTGAGGGCCAAGAGCAGCAGCGAAATTGTATTCATAGTGTGTAACTTCACGGTTTGGTGTATCTTCTATCTTACCGTCAGATCAGGAGATCAAGCTTGATTCAAAGAAAATAAGGAAGGCATGCTAGAAACAGAACTGAGCATAACCCAAAAATGAGGCGGAGCCACAAGGGAAGACTGTGTATGCCAAAAGCAGTATGCAACAGACAGGACCGAACAGTTCTAAAGACACAGTTCAGATCCAAGACCTGCAGTCCTGCCAAATCAAGTGCAATGGTGGATACTACAACTAACAGGACGATGCAGCTCCACATATAGCTCTATCCTCAACAATGGAGGAACCCAGCACATCATGCAAAACACAAAAATAAAATGCTGGAGAAACTCAGCAGGTCTGGCAGCATCTGTAGAGAGAAAGCAGAGTCAACGTTTCAGATCCAGTGACCCTTCATCAGAACATGCAACACGCATCCATCTTTAACCAAAAGTGATGATCCATTTCAGCCTTTACCTAAAGTCCCCAGCACCACAGACATAAGTATTCAACCAAATCAATTCACTCCCTATGATATCAAGAAATGGCTGAAAGCACAGGACACAACAAAGGCTACGGCCCATTACAACATCTCAGCAATAGCATTGAAGACACGCTCCAAAACCAGCCGCGCACTTAGTAAAGCTGTTCTAGTACAGCTAGCATCCACAATGAACAAAATTGCTTAGCTAAATGCTGTCTCCAAGAAGTGGGACAAATCCAACCCTGCCAATTACTATCCTATTGGTCTATTCTTGATCATTCTCAAAAGTTAGAAGGGGTATATTTACAATAATACTGCTCCATCAGTAAACAAGATGAGACTTATTCAAATTTAGAAAGAATGTTAGTTTGGTACATCAAGTTTTTTTTCTGTACACACTTTTATACAAGCAATTTTAGACCAAAGCAATTTTGATTAAAACAATAACTGGTGTTCAACATATTTTACACCCTTAAAATATTTAATGCATTTCAAAAATCCCGAATTAGAATTTTAGAAAAAGAATGGCACACGATTTCAACTTAGAATGTCACCAGTCCTCGAGATTGTTGGCGAAGTACACTTGCACTTCCAAGTGAATGGTATCAAGATATGCAATATTTTGAGGAACATTTTCAAATATAGATACGATATTTATATAGCAGGTCCAGGGGTAAGCCATTCTGACCTTCAATAAGATCATGACTGATCTGTGACCTTGATATCTTTGCTTAACAAAAATGTCTCAGACATGTAACAATTGAATTAGCGTTGACTGCCATTTGAGGAAGTGTGTTCCAAACCTCCACTACTTTTAGCCTGTGGCACTGCTTTCTAACATCTCTCCTGAATGACCTGACCTTAATTCTCAGACTACTCCCCCCTCTTTCTGGAATCTCCAAATACCCTGATCTATCTTTTTAGGTCTGAAATGGATAACTTCACACTTGCTTATAATAAAAGCTTTTTACCACAGTTTTACCCATTCATCCAATCTATCAATATCCTGTTGTAATTTTACACTGTCATCATTCTACAGGGTGTATCATGAAAATGAAATATTCTTAAAACTGCTTAGTATTATGAACTAACATGTGAGTGAAGTGACTGATTTTACCATGAGACGCTTTGTATAGTGACCGCTTCTTGTCAAATTTGGTTGAGTACCAATGTGATTGTGATCGAATTTACCACGCACGAGTACTTGTATTAACACACTATTACTTTAAACCCTTTAACGGTTTTTGTTAGCAAACAGTCAAATATTGTTTTAGTTTTTTTAATGAATGTGCACTGATGGGCAGGATACATGGAAAAATGTTAGCCTAGTTGCTTCAAGTCCAGCACACAAAAACCACTTAGCATGATACATACAACTATCACACAAAAGAGTAAAGTGAATGGATTTTCTTAAAGACGTTCGAGAGATGTCAGTTTCGCTGTCTTGACCAACATTTATTGTCCATTCTTACTGCATTTAAAATGTGCTGGGGATTGAGTTTCTGAACTGCTGCACTCCGTGTAGTGTAAGCATATATTAGCAAATGAAATCCATTATATTGCTCACTGTAATGACAGAAATATATTCCAGTGAAACAGTCGATCTGTCCCTTGTCATAACAATGCCTATTAAGGAAATGTCTAACAAATTGTGGAATGCAACTCTGTTGGTTGTCAGACAAGCTTTTAGTCCTCCACCTCTTTTCAGGAAATGGGAATGACATTAAAAGGATGCTGAACTTAAGCCAGTTCTGCTAGGAAATGGTTCTTGTCCAATTTAACAACAAATAAATTAGAAGTGAAAAGTCATACAAAGAAAGACCAATCTTCCAGCTGGCTGTATGATTTCATTAAATTTTAAATGTTGAAGTTTCAAAAACCTCCGATTTTGACAATTATACCAGTAAATTAGACTTGAAAATCCATTCATTTTCTGTTTGGCCAAACCAAGTTTACACGGTTAAATACAACTGTCAATGTTATAAATGTAGTTCTTTCTGAAATCGATGAATGTTGGGCATTAGAATACAAATATATCAGTCACTATGGAGGTAAGAGTAGGGCACGTGTAAGGTGATTATGCAGGGAGGTAGCTTATGTAAACTTCTTCAAACTGATAATTTGGCCACGCAATATTGCCATCAAGTAGCTATTGTAGATTAACAAACTTTCTGAGAAGTGGTGCTAAGAGCTTGCAGCTAAAGAGTGATCATGTATACAAATGAAAGATTCAATATTCAAATTATTATAGAGAGCATAGTTTGATGATACAAGCCAAAATTCCTGACTGTATAAAATATTCAAATGAAAAGCTAATATTCCAGTATGTTTTACATTCGGTGACATAAGTTAGTGACATATCATTGCTTTAAAGGAGGTGACTTGTAAAACATACTGGAATTTCAAGAAACATTTCACTGTTGTAAGACATTATTTGTTTGACTGCTCACCTCACCAAATGCTCCTCTACCGATGACTTTCAACATTTCAAAGTCATCTCGATGTAGCCGCAGCTCCTTTACAGTCGAGGTGAATGGTTTTGCTGTAAAGTTCAAAAATGATGGAATTAGAAAGGTCACATGCATTGCAAATTTGTTTGAGAATATGAATTTGTGAAAATTTGGAAAGTTCAGAATCACGGAATTATTATAGTACAGGAAGCCTCCAATAGGTCCATTCAGAGCTAGCTTTATGAATAACCATGAGACTTAATGACATTCTCCTGTGTACTCCCTGTAAATCTGCACATTGTTCCTTTTTAAATAACCACCTAATAGCTTCTTGAATGTTTTAAATAAACCTACCTCCACCATATTCTCAAGCCGTGCATTTCAGCCATTAACTGCTGGTTGTGTGGAAAAAAGTTTTCCCTCATGTCACTTTAGTTTCTTTTACTAATTACTTTAAATCTATCTCCTCTTAATCTCTATCCTTTCATGAGTAAAAACATTTTTTGCATAGTGTCCATACCCCTCTTGATTTTGAATACTTCTTTGTCAAAGCTCCTCTCAGGCTTCCCTTGAGGAAAACAGTTCAACTTTCTCCAATCTCGGTACATAACTTAAATTCCCTATCCTTGGGACCAACCTCTCATATTTCTTCTGCATTCTCCAATTCCTTCACATCCTTCATAAAATGTGACACCCAGAACTGTATGCAATTGTCCAGCGAATATGAACGAGTGTCTTATACAATTTCAATGTAACTTCCTTGCTCTTGTACTCTAGGTGCGTATTCATAAAGCCTAGGCTTTTGTAGATATTTTTAATAATCTGTTCACACATGTTATAATTACACCTCTGGAGCAGACTTATTTGCACATAAAACCTGGAGCCCCTGCTCTTTTACTCCCTTTCAATTTGCACTTTGTTTTGCATTGTTCCTCCATATTCCTTCTACCAAGACGTATCACTTCACACTTCTCCGCATTGAAATTCATCCGCCACCTATCCACCCACTCCATCAACTTGTATGTGCCCTTTCAATGTTCTACGCTATCCTCCTCACAATTTGGGTATCTAATTTACATATCACATGCAATTTTTGAAATGGTGCCCTGTCCACCAAAGCCTTAATCATTAAATTACATTAAATGAAAAATGTTCAAAATTGCAGCATTCCAAGTGCTATTCTCTGCAAACCAAAGCTGTTTAAATATTTTGAACATCAATAGGTCAGACGATTTCAGTTCATAGGTCACTTGTAGTTTATCCACTATACAGCTTTTAGACCCACACATCCAGTATTTTTTTTAAACTGTGGACACAGCTCATGATCCCTAGAATAAATGCTCACAAACTATTAAAATAAATAAAAAAGCTACTGAAAAAATTCTTCAAAACTAATCTGTTCATAAAACTGCCAATAAAAGAAAGCACCATCACATTCAACACTATGTAAACAACGCTGCTAAAGTGACATACATCAGTAGAATTCACTATTCATAATGACAGTCCATTGCACAACTTTACAAGAATCACAGAATCCCTAGAGTGTGGAAACAGGCCCTTCAGACCAACAAGTCCACACTGACCCTCACAGCATCCCACCCATACCTATCCCTCTATAACCCACCTAATCTACACATCCATGAATAGTAAGGGTAATTTAGCATGGCCAATCCACCTAGCCTGCACATCTTTGGATTGTGGGAGGAAACCTGAGCACCCGGAGGAAACCCATGCAGACCACGGAGAATGTGCAAACTCCACACAGACAGTCGCCTGAGGGTGGAATCGAACCTGAGTTCCTGGCACTGTAAGGCAGCAGTGGTAACCACTGAGCCAGAGGTCAAAAATACTAGTGTCTGAGAAGTTGCATTTCTTCATTATTTTTCTCAAAGGCTCAGCAAACGGACTTTAAACTAAAGCAGACATTTGTTCATCTAATTTGAGGATTCAACAGAGGTCTGAACTTTAGATCAATGCAAAAATGCATAGGGTCCAGTCACAAATTTATACCTTAATCTCAATACAGTTGATTTCAGAAGCATGCTTTATCTTCAGGACAAGTGCTGATCAACTTATTCATCACATCTTTTCTGATGAAAGTTTCATTATTAATCACTGCATGAGAAACATATTTAACTTATCAGACAGTATCTATCTACGACATTTGAAGTTGCTAAGACCTTATTAACTTACCTGTCAAAAGTAATTCAACTTCAGACCAGGCATTCCCAATGGATTACAACTCCTCTGGGGTACAATCCTAACAAAAGCTCCTGAGTGGATGGTGTGGGGGTGGTGTCTACAATGTCCACCCACACAATAGATGAGCCAAGGGCGGGAATCTTGTACGCGGACTTGCTACTAGCACCTTAACCCCAGGGTAGGAATCTCAGAATCAGTGCCATTCATTATTTTTAAATACCCAGTGCCTCCATCCACATAAAGACAGAGGCATGAAGATCTACAACAATGTTTCTAAAACTAAAAATAAGAAAGCATTTCCAGAATTTAGCATTATAAAATTTAAAATGCAATATTTATGACTGGACCAAGTGTCAACAGATACACAAGCATAAGAAAAAGGAGAAGACAGCCATTTGGTCCCTCAAGGCTATTTCACTATGAAATATAACCACAGCTGATCTATGTTTCACATTTCCATCTGTCCCCAGTAACTTGAGAGTGCATTAGACAAGAGAGTCAATTTACCTTTTTCTTAAAACTACTTCAGACCCCTACTTCCATGTGAGGTAGAGTTCCAAAGTGACAACTCTCAGATTTTACTAATCCTCATTTCCATCCTAAACAGGCAATCCCTAATTTAGAAATAGTGCCCAACAGTTCTGGACTTGCCTGCAAGAGGAAATAGCCTTTCCACATACACCTCGTCACGACCTTTCATGATCTTATACACTACAATCAGGTCACTCCTCACTCAAACTCCAGTACATACAAGCAAGGCCAGCATGTCCAACATATCTTTGTAACCAAAGAACTACAATGAAAAGACAAATGACCTAAATTAAACTGGAGAAATATTCCAAATCCAAATTTGTACCAGATCTTCTATTAGGATAGAACACTGATCACAAATAAGTATTCTTTTTAATGAAAATGATAGACAGTGATGAAACATGAGCTTGTGGTTAAAATTCCTCCAAATGTGTGCGAAAGTGTATCAGTAGAACTGGCCACTTTATAATCATCGTGGAGTGTGAAGTTCCAGCTTCACACTGACAACATCTTTCATTATGTGTCGCATTACCTTGGTGCAAAATAGGTTTTGCATTCAAACAGATTAAGCGACTCAAAACTAGGCATCCATAACAAATTGCAGGCTTTCAGCAGGCAGCAAAAAGTATATTCAAGAAACAGCACAAATCCAAAATTGCCCAATCACTCTACTCTTGATCAGCAGAAAAGTGATGAAAAGGGTTGTCAACAGTGCTCTCAAATGGCACTTGCAAAGGACTAACCTGCTCACTCATGCTCATTTTGGGTACCATCAGGGCCACTCAGCTCCTGTCCCAGCCATTACAGAGCTGTCGCACCCTAGGTCCAAACATGGACAAAAGAGCTGAACTCCAGAAGAGATGTGACAGTGATTGCATTAATGCAGTATTTGACAGTGTGGCATTAAGGAAGTTAGCAATACTGGAATCAATGAGAATCAGGCAGATAGGGAGGCTGGTTGAAGTCATACAAAGACAGACACTTGTGGATGTTGGAGGTTAATCACCTCAGCCTCAGAACATCACTGCAGCATTTCCTCAGTATAGCGCCCTAGGCTCAACCATCTTCAGCCTGCTACATCAAAGACCTTCCCTTTATCAAAAAGGTTAAAAACAGCACTGCTTGCTGGTAACTGCTATTCAGTGCTATTTGTGTTTCCTCAGACACAGAGCCAGTCCATGCCCATATTCAGCAAGACCTGGATGACATCCCAGCTTAGGTTGATAAGTGGCAACTAATATTCATGCCACACAACTAGACCAACTAGGCAATGACCATGTAGGAGGCTCTCCCTGGATGCTGCGTGACCCACTGCGATTTCCACCATTTTTTGTTTTCAGTCGGCAATGACCATCTTCAACAACAGTGGGTCTAATCATTGCTCCTTGACATTCCATGACATTTCCATCCCTGAAATCAGCCACTACTAACATTCTTGGAAAATACCATTGACTAGAAACTGAACTGGACCTGCCTATAAATAATGTAGCTTCTAAAGCACGTCAAGACGCTGAAAATTCTGCAGTGACTAATTCAACTTCTGCCTCCCCAAGACTTAACACAACACCAGGTTACAGTCCAACAGGTTTGTTTGAAATCACAAGCTTTCATAGTGCAGCCCCTTTGTCAGCCAAGTGTCTTCACCTTATGAAGGGGCTGCGCTCCAAAAGCTTGTGATTTTAAATAAACCTGTTCGACTGTAATCTGGTGTTGTGCGACTGCTGACTTTGTCCAACACCGGCACTGGCACATCCACATCATCCCCAAGACTTGTCCACCATCTATGAGGCACAAGTCAGGAATGTCATGGAATACTCTACTGGCCTAGATGACTGGAGGTCCAACAATACTCGAAGTTGTACATTTCTTCAGGACAAATTAAATCTGGTTAAATGGTGCACCATCACTACTTTCAAAATTCACTCTCTCCCGCACTGATGCCTGATGTCAGCAGTGAATACTAGGTTAAAGTATTAAGTCACCTCCTTCAATAGAATCTTCCAAACCCATGACCTCTAACATCTAGAAGGACAAGAGTAGCATCTACACTGGAACACCATCACCTGTGAATTCCCCTTCAAGTCACACACCATTCTGACTTGGAACTATTTCATCATTCTTCATCGTTAAATCGGTAAAAATTCTAAAAAGCCCCTTCCTCAGAGCAGTACAGATGCTCTTACAGATGTGGACTGGGCTGGTTTGAGGCTGAAGCTTAACACGACCTTCTCTTGGACAAAAACAAAATTGCTGGAAAAGCTCAGCAAGTCTGGCAGCATCTGTGAAGGAAAAAAACAGAGTTAACATTTCGGGTCCGGTGACCCTTTCTCAGAACTGAGTTCTGAGGAAGGGGCACCAG